CCATTTTCGTCCTGGGCTCTTCCAGGATTAGGAGAGAGAAAAAAAAAAAACCCCACATTATTTTGCCTATTTATTGTTGTTTTTTTTTCAGTCAAGGAAGCATTTTCCAGCCCCAGCAGGAAGGCGATCGCCGTTTCAGCGGGGTAACGGCACCAGGCAGCCGTGGGGCGACGCACCGGTCCGACCCCACCAGCCCCTCACTTCTCTGGGTCAAACACACCTTTTATCTCCAGAGCGGGGCTTTTTTTTGCCCCCTCCTTCGAGGGCTGAAGAGGTTTTTGGAGCATTTCTAAGCACCTGCCGACAGCTCGCATCAGGCACGGAGCAGCCGTTACGGCTCCCCGCTGTAATTTGATTTTTGGGAGGGGGATAGCCACATTGATGATCGCGCTCGCACCCAGCCGTTACGTCTCCCAGCTGTAATTCGATTTTGGGAAGGGGGAAACTGAGGCACGGAGGGAGGGTGCTGTGAAATCGCACCTCGGTCTCCGGGAACCTGCGAGCAAAAGTCTCGTCTCCTCTTCAACAAGGTTTTCCTGAAACCAAGCTCTCCAGAGCGGCCCTCCACCAGCAGAAGTCCTTTCCCCTCACCCAGCCACAGAAACCAGAAGCAAACCCAAGCCCAGAAGTCTCTTTTACAGCAAGAAAAGCATTTTTACCTCCTTTTAATAATTTATTTAGGTGCTGACACGCACAGTAACAGCCCGGCGGAGTTCAGGGGGGGCTCCCCAAACCTTGGGGGATGAGCTGTCCCCACTGCCCCATTAACGGGGCTGTGCTCATGCTCCTACCCCTCCGTCAACATGAAATTAAGGTGCTGCAGCCTGAAGCAGGGGGGGTGTAAACCCTCGCAGCTGCTGCTGGAGCCATGCTTGGATGCAGGAGCCCTCTCACCAAGCTCCAGCTCTGTCTGGAGCATCACTAAACTTTCCTGCTGGGGGCAAAGACAGACAGGAGCAGGGATTTGAGACAGACAGACCAACTATCCCAGCCCCCAGGCTGGTGGCTTGTAAAATCCACCCGCTCTGCCACGTTTTCCTCCTTTTCTCCATGAGATTTCTGCCTGTAGAGGGTGAAATCCTGCCGCTCGCTCTTGCAGCACTGAGCAACGCCAACGCTGTGGCAGGGACGCTTGCAGGGTGAGAGAGGGAAGGACTGGGTCACACTTTGGGGGTTTAGGGGAAAAATCTACCCTCTGTGGGGTCCCAGGCTCCTGCCTGCCCTCAGCTCGGCCCCAGACCCATCTTCTTGCTGCGCTTCTCAGGGCAGCGGCCACCTCCCACAGCTCTACCTCGACCGGCACGGCCCTTCCTGAGCCCCCAAATCGGAGGCGATGGTGGCCACGCATCCTCCGAGCGCTGAGCTCTGAACACGGCTCCCCGCGGCACGTCTCCCTCCGTCTCAGATCAGTCGGGCTTCTCCTTCCAGCTCAACCTGCAGGTCGCAAACGCCCGTGAAGTTGATCTCCTCGCCGGCCTGGCTACTGCCGACAGAGGCGGAAGGAGGGGATGGCTGCTGAAGGGCGTCTGCCGCGGGGCTTTGGCTCATGTAGGCCTCCAGGGATTTCAGGAGCTGCTTTGGTTTCTTTTTGGTGGATGACTCCAGCTCTGGGGAGGTCAGAGGGAAAAGCATGAGGACAGAGAGCGAGGTCTGCATGGTGTCAGGGATGCAGCACGCTCCTGGGGTAAGGTTTTGACCCACATATTATTTCTGGTGTCCCAACATATCCCCTCCGGAAAGGGCACGACTACATTTTACTTGGGATGAGAGCGCACGAAAAGCTGCTTGTCAAACCCCCAGCCGAGCTCAGCATTGGGCTGAGCGCCCCGAGATCCTCGTGGGAGGGAAAGCCTGGGGACAGCAGGGTGAAGCACCAGCCCGACGGTGACAGCCGGACCCCGTTTGAAGAAGTAGCCATTAGCACGGCGCATCCGAGCGGCTCTGTTGACATCAGTCTCCTCCGGAGTAAATAACCCCGCTGGTTAATTTAGTGCTTACTGCGAAAAGCACGCCGTTGGTGACTCCGCTTACACCCCGTGCTACAAACAGGGCTTACACAACCGCACTGCGCGATGCGAGCCAGCCTGGGGAGCAACAAGTGTCCCCGTTTGTCCCTCACCTCGAGCCACCACAACAAAGCAGCAGCGGGGACTTTCATGAGTGCTCATCTTTGAGATGCAAAACGGGGGGAAAACCCACCCCACAGGGCACTCGGAGAGTTAAAGATTGTTGAAAATCTCACTGTGAAGATTGAACGATGAACGGTTGGGGCTTTCTGGGCCTTACACCCCTGTGGCTGGGCTCAGCAGGACATGAATGCGCTGAGAACATGCTGGGTTTGTCCTCTAGGCCTTGGGTTATTTTCCACGGCTGGGAAAGGAGGGAAAAGCGCAGGGAAACAAACCTTTTAGGAGGAAGCCGGAGTCGGCGATGGTCTTGTGCTGCCATTTCCAGATGCGGTAGAGCTGCAGAAAGGCCGCGGTGTACAGGTCATTCAGCACGGCGATGACTTGCTGCCTGCGGTTGCACTCCCTGAAACCGGTGGAGAGGGGCTGAGCTGACGCAGCCGGCCTCCCGGCAGCCGAGGAGGGACCCCACTCAACGGGAACCAGCAATGGATTCCCATTCGAGATCCCAAAACCACCACCCAGCCTGGCTACGGACCTCCAGATCTCACCTGGAGAGACATTCCTCCCTCAGGGCCTGGATGACGATGCGGGTGATGTTTACGGACATGATGCAGAAGGGGAAATTCTGCAAGAGAATAAGCGTTATGGCAGCTTGGCTGGAAAAAGCCTCCTCTCTTCCAGCATGTGGAGGTGCCCAGACAACACCTCCAGCCCTTTTACGCTGCATCTGTGTGGCCCCAAACCCATGGGATGGCGGCTGCAGGCAACAGATCCATGCAGTAGGATAATAATGCTACGCATACAGGCTTAGATGGATGCTTTGGGTCAAGCCGAGCTTATATTCAGGCCCCATACACAAGACTAAAATGCAAACTTTAAGGAGAGAGGCTCCACTCACTCCCATTTTCATGCTGCACTGCCCTTTGCCCACTTCTCCGGCCCTTTTAACCTGCACAAGTTCCGCTCCAAGCCAGGATCCTGGGATTGAATCTCTGATCTCCACCAGGATGCTAAAATCTATTCCCAGCATAAAGCCAACACCTGGAGCTTGGCTCCAGCCTCTGATACGAGCTCCTCGGCCCTCTGGGGACCTTCCTCCCCTCACCACCGCGAGGGAGATTAAACAGCAAAAAAAAAAAATCAAGCCCTTACCCTGAAGGGAAGGGTTTTGTACTTCCCTCTCCCCAAGCGTTAGAAATTAACAGGTAGATACCACTGCAGGGAGGAAGCGAAGAAGGCAGAAGGACGTGCCTGGGTTTCGTGGTGGGATAGCCTGAAAATCTCTTGAGCCAGAGGCAGCGTCTGAGAGTCCATGACGAAGTACAGCATCTGCATCAAGCCCAGCATCCCCGTCCCTCGCAGGTCAGTCCCGGGATCCGCACCTGGAAGGGCGGCACAGCCCAGTGAAGCAAGGGACAACACGGAGTCGCTCTCTGGTCACCTCCCTCCTTCCGCCGGCTGTTTATACCCTGTCACCATTTGTCAATAACGGAGGAACCCCAGGGATCATACCCTGAGGGAAAGCTTTGGGGGAATTTCCCTAACCGGAGCTGAACGGGTGCCACTGCCTCTTTCACGTGGGCATTAACAAGCCCTTGCTCTCCCACCACGCACCCACTCCCATCCTTTCTCTAGGGATTAGCAGCTTTAAGCCCTACCCACCCCAGGGCACATCTGGCTGGTAAACCAACGCTTAAAACCAGTTGTGTACGCAACAGGATGGAGGAGCTGGAGCCATTCCCCTCCTGTTGAGGGTTTTAAGCTTCATTAAAACCCGGCCTATTTAACGCCCGAAAACTCCTGCGAGGCCACATGTGACAGCTTTAATCACGCTGTTTTTCTTACACAGCAGAGGCTGAAAGCAACCTGTGACGCAGCCTAAGTGACAGAGCTCTGACCTGCACTTCCCTAATACACCAGCCCTCTGGAGATGGCTCATTAGCCGCAGACATCTCTTGCTAATGAAAAGCATTAACGACCTGGGCAAAGTGGTTACATCAACTACTTCTTGTTATGCCCGCGCCAGCTGGACAAGGGCAACCGTGGCAGCAGGTATTGGTGTTATCAGGCCAACCAGTCCAGAAGTTGTACTGGTTGCAGCAGCTGGCTGGGGCAGCGACAGATCTGCCGCAAAACCAGGGCTCAGGATCGGGGCCAGTCCTGTTTCATATCCTTACTGATGGTCTGGACAAGGGGATCGAGTGCACCCTCGGTCAGTTTGGAGGTGACACCAAGTTGGGTGGGAGTGTTGATCTGAGGCTACACCTCTTGAATCCTGTGTTCAGTTCTGGGCCCCTCACTACAAGAAAGACTGGAGGTGCTGGAGCGAGTCCAGAGAAGGGCAACGAAGGTGGCGAAGGGTCTGGAGCACAAGTCTGATGGGGAGCGGTTGAGGGAACTGGAATAGGATGAGAGGAAACAGCATGAGGGGAGGTTTAGATTGGATATTAGGAAAAACTTCTTCACTGACAGGATTGTCAAGCAGTGGAACAGGCTGCCCAGGGAAGTGGGGGAGTCACCATCCCTGGAGGTATTGAAAAGCCATGTAGATGTGGTGCTTAGGGACATGGTTTAGCGGTGGGCTTGGCAGTGCTAGGTTAATGGTTGGACTCAATGGTCCTGAGGGTCTTTTCCAACGTCAGTGATTCTATGGAATGGCTGCAGGGACTGCTGAACGGCAGAACAAGGACCAAACCCTTTATGCTGCCTCTGCGTCCCAGCTCTAGAAGAGGGAACGGGACCAGCGCGATCTCTCTCGGCAAAGGTTTGCTCCAGAGGTCTCTCCCTCTGCCCTACCTTGAAAGCCGAGCTCTTCCCAGTGCGCCCCGTAGCGCGGGCAGCCCAACCTGGAGTGGGTTAGCTTCTTGTAAATGGTCTGCAGGATTCTCATGTGCACTCTTTCATTATCATCCAGACGACCTGGCGGAGAAAAAACACTCCTCAGCATCTCAAAAATACCCCTCAGCATCCCTGCCCCGCTGCCCTCGAGCGCCGGCACAGAGACGTGGTGGGGGAAGAAACCACCACCAGCCCACCAGCTGCAGGGTAAAGCCAGAGCCCAGCTGGAAATTAAATCCCGCAGCCGAGAACGGCTTGTGGTGACAAGAGGAAGGTCCCGGCCATGTTTATCCTGCTGGAGGGGAGAAGGGAAGGAGAGGAAAATGTATCAGAGGTGCAGAAACACAAATACTACAACTGCGTATTGTATGAGCGCAGGGGTAACGAATAATTCTGGCATCACATGAAGTTTTGCCGGCCAAAGCAGCGCTGCCTGGAGAACCACTGCCAACTACGAACCACAGGTAAGGAGTTTCCACATGCTCAGCATACGTGATCCGCCACGGGACAGCCAGAAACAACACACGCCATGCCAAGGCACCGCAACGATTCACATCTCATTCGCTTTGGTCACGAAATGAGGAGAGGGAAGGGCTGTAGAGCCGTGGAGCACCTGCCTGGTGCCATGTCAAGGTGTACATGTGGAACAGCTACTGCGGTATGATGGAAAGTGACCAAGAGCTCCATTGTTCCTCTCCAAAAGTGAGCATGTCCGCAGCAGGGGAGCAAAGGATAAGGAGAACGCGTCCTTTGGGACAAGCAGAAGCTGCAACAGGATACGCGGGTAGAGCCCCCACTGCACCCCTGAGCCCCTCTCGAGTCGCTTCCACAAAGCTCTAACAATAAAGGTGACGCCAGCTGGGCCAGGGGCTCGCGTCGGGGCCGAGGGGACACTCACACTGCGCCATGGCCAGAGCCAGCTCCTGCTCTCCCTGCAGCTGTGGCTGGAGCTGGGGAGGGCCGAAGAGGAAGCGAACCAGAGCAGCCAGGCCTTGCCTGCGTGCTGTCACCCGGACCTTCTTCTGCGGAGGAGAAAACGCGCAAAGAAATGGTCAGGGCTGGCCCCTCGGGGAACTGGGCAGAAAAACCCGTGGGTGAGCCAGGATCACGTGAAGAGCCAAGCTGAGGGAAGGAGG